TGCGTCTTCCAAGGATGCAGGTCACGCGGGAGAGGAGGCCGCCTGTCTTCCATTAGCACAACCTCATTTCAACTCAAGACATCCGCAGTGACCCAGTTTCTAAATGAGGTCCCGCGCCCTGAGCTGCAGGTGAGGCTTCCGCAGATGCGGGAGGCGCAAGGGGCAGCTCCACTCACAAGAGTGACACACTTGCGCCTGGGTGTCCGATCATCGGATTGGCGGCCATTGTGACAAGTGTAACAACTAGGTTGGATTGTTTCATACCAACTCCACCTGCCATCGCCGCCCACCACCGCCACCCCACAGGTCAGCAAGGACAAAGGTCCCCGCGTCGACTCCCCTTTGTGGCCTGGCTCTGCCTGCAGATGGGCAGCCGTCAGCGTTACATCCCGCACAGGGGAAGCCCGAGAACGAGGGCACGGCGGGTCCCTCCCGATGACCCATCTTCATACCAGTGGCTAGACAACAGCGAGAGGAGACCTCTGTTTGGGCTGGTGGAGCCTGCTGGAAGCCCGCCAGCGAGTGTGGGCAGCGGGGAGACGGGTCTCACCCCCCGGGGCTCGGAGGGATACCGCCACTTATGGTTACTGTGTTCATCGTGTAAAACGTGGTACAAGAGAGATGGCGGTCCACACTTCTGGAAGCCAGAAACCCAAGATGGAAGGAGGGAGGGAGGGAGGGAGGGAGGGAGGGAAGGAGGGAAGGAGGGAGAGCTGTCTTCTTGTTAGGACACTGATCACATTGGATGGGACCTGCCCTTCTTACCTCCCTGCCTCTTTCTCTTCCCTCCTTAGAGCCCTGTCTCTTCCCTTGGAGGCGGCGTGAGGGCCTCGGCCCATGCAGAGGGAGGGGCGATCCTGGCATTAACACCCACTCCCTGGTCCCAGACCTTTTTCATCTTCCCATACAGAAACTTCATATCCGTCAAGCAGTCGCTTTCCTTTCCTCCCCCCCCCCTCCCCCTCCCCCTCCCCTTCCCTCATTCCCCCCCCCCCCCCCAGAACATTCATCTTCCTTGCACCTCTCTGGCTTTTCCTTACTCGACATTTCATAGAAATGTGGAATGGTAGCAGAGCACAGGGCCCTAGGTGTCTGGTATCTTCCAAGGAGCACCCATGCTGAGCCAGGGTCAGAGGCCCAAGGTCACACCACTGGTGGGTGGAGGCTCAGCAGGCCCAGGCTGTGGGCTCCCCTGGGGGCATCTCCAGACTGGACACTAGAGAGGCGGGGCTATGGACGTGAGCCCCTCTTGAGTCACATTCCTCCCGACTAGGGACAGGGCTGCCACCCCCACAGGCTCCCAATAAGGATCGGGAAGGCTGAAGTGTGTTGTCACCTGCAGAGTGTGTGTGTGTGTGTGAATGCCACAGGGCCTGACAGCTTCAGCTCTCAGGCCACTAGGCCACATCTCCCCTGCTGAGCTGTGATACTGCCATCTGCTGGCTGTAGGAAAACCTGGCACAAAGCAGCATGGTCCATTCAGGGAAGAGGGTTTGGGTGAGAGGCTGCTGTCTCTCTGCTTAAGCATCCTGAAGGGAACGAGTCAGGGCTTTACCCAGGGATTCAGAACGCTGATGCCAACAGACATGACAAGATGCTTGACTACATGAAGAGGCCATTGCCTGCAAGACAGGCAGTGTGTATGGTGTGAGCCACCTGTGTATCTGAATGATGGCACCTGAGGGAGTCTGGGACCATGTGCAGCCTGGGGGGGGGGGGGGCGGGGAGGTGTGGGAGGTGGCAAGGCACAGGTGCCCCTCTGACAGCTGCCGCTTATCAAAGTCCTGGAGTTGCGCGCGTGATCATCATCTCTGAGGAAGGAAATTGTTTTCCTCCTATTTTGCCAGTTTCCTCCGCCATCCACATGTTAGTACTTAAGTAAGTACTAGTAGTTAAACTTAAGTCAAAAGAAGTTAAGGGAGAAGGAGGTAAGAAGCTCTCTGCCACAGTTTGCATGTGGAATTTCCCCCCAACAGCTCCTGCCCCCAGCTGGTGGTGCTCCTGGGAAGCGGCGGGGTTGTTAGAGGGAGGGACCCGGCAGGAGGAGGTTAGGCCATTGGTGGCACGGCCTTGAAAGGAGATATTGGAGCCCCGCCCCTCCTCTTTCCCTGGTTGCTATGTGGCTAGCCACTTCTGTGCCAAACAGATCACCATGATGTCCTGCTTGCCGCAGGCCCAAAGGCCATGGGACCAACTGACCATGGCCAGAAACCATGAACCCGAACAGTCCATTGCTCCTTGTGAGTTCATTTTTCTCAGGAGCTTTGTCCCAGTGATGGAGACCTGCTGAGCACTCTTGCAGAACACTGACTTTCACGTTGCATGTATATCCGTCACCACAATCAACTGTTCTCCGGACCTGCCAACCTAGTGGCAGGCGACGCCAGCTCTCCACTCCAGCCAGGTGGGACCCTGGCCGTGGGTCTTTCCACCAAGACACCCTAGGGACCAGGGACCTCACTGCCATCTCCTGGCTGGGCGGTGTTGCCCACTTGGCAAAGGGACAATTATGGGATCTATTTCCCAAAGCTGCTAGAACTTTGTGTTTCTACATAAGGAGCATTTGCTGTGGTTCCTGGCGTAGGACAGGCAGGATTCCTCGTGGCAGGGCCTCTTCAAGACAAATGATGTTGGTAGGGGAGTCAGTTCCCCAAGCCCTGGCCTGGTCCTGGCCCTGCCTGCTGGCAGACCTTCCAGGGAAGCTGCTGAAGTGCAGATTCCTAGGCTGTGACCCACAGAACCAGCGCTTACAGACACCCGCAGACACATGCTTCACAGAGCTTCCGAAGCACAGAGCCCCACGGAGCAGGATGGCTTCTCTGAGGTCCTTCCAGCTCAGACCCTGTAAGACAGAGTTTTCTGACAACTTGCCTGGTCTCCTGGACACTGCTCTCCAATTCTGTAATGAAAAGCAGTGCTAAACCCGGCAGCTTCTACAGGAACCTCACCAAGCGCTGTTCTTAGAGGATCATGGCTGGATAGAACCAAGATTCCATGCTATTTCGTAGAGAAGGAAGAGCACTCATCACACAGCTGGCCAGTGACAGAGCCGGGAACACAGCGTGGTCTCCTGACTCTGAGGTCAGTGGTGTGGGCATGAGCACGTACACACATACACACACACACACACACACACACACGTTCTTGCTGTGTGCCCACTGTCTGACATGTTGCCGAAGCAGGCACTGCAGATGGCCAAGCCGTTTTTCACCTGTTTAGATTTTTATTTATTTATTTATTTACTTAGGATAAGGCTTTGGGGAATGAGAAATGATGGAGAATGTAAATGAAGAGTTTGGTCTTAAATTTTCTCCCTTGGGTTTTAGTGTCCCCACAAGCAGACAGCATGAAGAGCAGAGGCCAGCGCCCCCAACTCACAGGGCCTGGATGGAGGCAGCGCTCTGGGGCTGCTCGCTGTCAGCAGCTGGATGGTGGCAGGGACGGTGTGCTGAGCAGCCAGGAGGAGCGAGCAGCCTCCGACAAGGTGCCAGCCGCAGGGCAGAAGGGGGCTGCGAGGAGCTTAGTGTGGGAGCTGTTGGCTTGAGATGCGTACACAAGGCTGGACGCAGCTTGTGGGTACGTAATTCTAGAGGTCTGGGGAGAGGCCCTGGGCAGCACAGCCTGGGGGCCTGGGCAGCCATCGGTCATGAGGCGAAGCTCAGCGTGGCCAGGGCCTGTGCCATGGGGCACCTGACTTGGGAGGTGGAGTGGGGAGGGCGGGGGGGGGGGGGACTCACAGGGAGCAGAGGGAGAGCCGGTCTCTTGCGCCCTCTCTCAGGGGGGAGAAGAATGGGGTACCACCTCTAACCCAACTAGGTGAGGGTCTGGGAACCCATGGCTGGGGTTAGCGAGATGGAGGCTGCTGGTAGTTTAATCGCAAGTGTCTCTGTGGAGTGCGAGGACATAATCTGACGGCCAGGGTCCAGGGGGACAGCAGGTCGGAACATCAGTGTCGTTCATAAGTTATTCCCCAAAGTGAAACATTCACTGGGGGCCTGGGAAGTGCCGGGCACCTCCGTGGGCCCCACGGAGCTCAGCCCCGAGGTGGGGACACAGGAAGAGCACAGAGGCTCACGGTGCCGTATCCTGCGAGGTGCGGCAGGCTCAGGGTCTGCGGCACGGGTGGCAGGATTGGGGGCGCGGAGGCTGCAGGCACGTGGCTGGGGGCAGGAGGCCTTGAGGAAAGCCCTTTTCTGGTGTGTCTGTTCTAAGGGCAACAGGGAGCAAGGTCCAAGTGGGAGGAAGAGGAATGAGAAGCGGAGATGGGGGACAGCCACCAGGACGGCAGGGAGCGGCAGGGAGACAGAACGAGGGCCGCAGCAGGGAGCAGGGCCGCTTCACGCCAGCCAGCCAGCCGGAGGCAGACGCAGCAGACGCAGCATACAGCTGGGGGCTGGCCAGATCCCTGAGAGGAAAGGGGCTCCGGGCTTTAGGGATGAGCCAGCTGGAGAGGCAGTGGGAGGGAGGGAAGCTAGCCCGCTACGTCTCACGCCCTCACGCACCCATCCTCTTAGAAGTGACTCCACAATGCACTGCTCCGTGAAGATGTTCTCTGCCTACGAGGATTTCCCCTGCTGCGGGAGCACCACACGTCTGAGTCAGAAGGCTCTGGAACATTCAAGGATCATCCATGTTCTGCCGGCTTTCCACGCCTCTGGCCTCTGACCTTGCCCCGACATTCTAGCCCTGGCTGTGGACCCAGGGTTCTACCCAAGGCTCCCAGGCCTGCGGGGAGGGAGGAGGAAATGCACGGCGGGCTTCCGTGCGTTGTTAGGGCCTCGGATGACATTTATTACCCGGAGGAGGGCTGCTGGAGTCAGGCGGTGAGGCAGCCTGCCCGCGGCCGCGGGAGCGCGGCAGCCTCAGCGCTCTTCTCTGAAGTCACGCCTCATTCGCGCTTACTTCTTCACTGTCCAGAGGGGCTGAGGATCCAGCCCGAGGCCTTACACCTTATTTTTTGTAGCACTTCCAATGAATAAAAATGCCGGAGAGAACATTCATTATATAGAAAACTCATTTATTCAAATTAAATTACTGAGTTCATATCCAAATAGAATCTGTGTAAATATTTTAAAATACAAGATGGTACAAATTCCCATTTTATAAAAATGTAAAAATAATCTGTGTCTTGCGATACATACTTCTTTTAACACGACCGAGGTGTACAGTAGTTGCCACAGGACGGCCTCACACGGGCGGAAGCTGAGGGGACGCTTGGGCCCCGGGCTGCCTATGCGGGGGTCCAGCGCGCCTCTCTCCCACCCGAGCCCCGGAGCCCAGGTGACCCGTCCTCATCGGGAGGGAGATCACCGCCTCTCCAGCGGTGGGAGGAGCCCGGGCGCGGGGAGGGGGGGAGGGTCCGGGGTGGGGTAGGCGGGTGTGCCCCGTCACTGGTCCAGCTCGTTCTCGTTCTGCAGGGTCTTCATCGCCAGCCCCCAGAGCGTCATGCTGGAGAAGAACTGGCCCTCGGAGTTCCGGTAGGCCGTGGAGGCTGTGCGGCCGCCCAGCGGGTCAGTGCAGTGGTGGTCGAGCGCGGCCAGCGAGGAGCGGATCATGGCCATGCTGTCGCCCTGCAGAGGCTCGCTGCCGGCCGGGGCGTCCGCGTCTGAGTAGGTGAACGCCTGCGGCGGGCCGGGCGGCGCCTGGGGCTTTGCCAGCTTCGCGGGGTCGGCGCTCAGTTTCTGCTCACTCAAGCCGGGAGGGTGGAGCATGGAGCGTAACTTACAGCAGGAATCCGTGGCGTGGTTGGCAAACTCCGCCACGGCGTTTTCCACCGGGTGCCCGGGCAGCTTGACCGACACGGGCATCAGTGTGACGGCCACGTCCTGGGCGAAGGAGTCGGCGGGCTCGATGGCCTGGCCCAGCTCGTCCAGCACGTCCGGGCTCGAGGCGCCCGCCCGGCAGTGCATCTTCTTGTGGCGCCGGAGCACGGCGGAGCGGGTGAAGCACTTGCTGCAGACCTCGCAGGTGTACGGCTTCTCCCCGGTGTGCGTGCGCACGTGCCGGCGCAGGTCGCCCGAGCCCCCGAAGCACTTCCCTGCGCATGACAGAGGGAGGACTGAGGAGAGCCAAGCCCTGCTGTGCCTCCTGGCACAGGCTCACTTGGGGGCTCACTGCACCCAGCTGTGCCCCCCGCGGGGCACGAGTCCTCAAGAGACTCGAGTCCCCGGCCTGAGCCTGCCTGGCGGCCAGTGGGCTGCTCCCACACCCGCCCTCGCGCCTCAGTGCCGCCCGAACGCGCCCAAGCTTAACAAGGCCAAACTACACGTGCTTCTCTGTTCCAGGTGCCCGGAGCTCTCCTCCAGCGCCATCTCGGAACACCTGCTACCTAGCAACGAGTCAAGGCCTAGGAAAAAGCCTTTAGACAACCAAAAGCAGGCCGGACCACCCCACAGTGAAAGCTCCAGGCAGCTTTCCACTGGAAGCCCTGAACAGCCACTAAAGCCTCTGTTCGTGCTCACTTCCACCATGCGCTTGCTTTTTTACTCAAAGCTAGTGCTCTCCACAGTGCCACTTCCAGTTTTCTGGGGACTAATTAGAGATAAGAGTCTTAATGGACTTTCCTGCCTGGGCTGGCTTTGAACTGTGATCCTCAGATCTCAGATTCCTGAGTAGCTAGGATTACAGGCGTGAGCCACCAGTGTTGTCTTTCAAGTGGGTGTTGTGCTCTGCTTTGTGGTATTTTATAGGTTTGAAGCTTCCTAACCATTCGTAATTGTTCATTCCAGCGATTCCCACTGCTTATGACTTACTACACAGGATTTACATGAACTCCACTGACATCTTTGTCTTTCATTTTGGCTGAGACATCTCCTAACTGCGGATAGCTGGAGGTGAGCCAGCCGTTCTGAGGGACCTTGGTATGCATGAACTTCAGCCACAACCGAGTTAGGAGATGGAGGGCCTGTGCTCCGTGCCTTCATGAGCACGAGGGCACGGGTCTCACTGGGGCTGAGGAGAATCTGCACTGAGCTTCATGGGGGCGCCCCCCATCAACAAAGCCTGAATCTACAGAGGGCTGGGGCTCCCAGAACGGCGTCCCCCAAAGAAAGCTCAGGTAGCATTAGGAGCCCATCTGCATCCAGGAGGTGCAGTGTTGAAGAGTGTGAGCAGAGCCGTGAATCACCGGCAGACGGAGCAGCGCAGATCACTGCGGAGCCTGGAATGGAAGCCATGCCCACAGCACATTTGCGAAGTGAGAGATTTCAGTCACCAACAGCCGTGTCATGTGACTCCATTTACAGAAACTTCCGGACCAGGCAAATCTAAGCAGTACGGTGGGTGGGTGCTGGAAGCTGGATGTGATGAAGGCGAAGTGCTTGCTAATGAGTATGGGATCTCTTTTTTGGGGTGCCAGAAGCTCTGAAATTATACAGTAATGAGTCACACAGCTTGGCGAATGTACAAAAGCCACTATAAAAAGATGAATGTTATGGTATGGGGATGTTATCTCAACACTGTCAAAAACAGTTGAGCCTGCTGTGGGAGGTGGCAACGGCGGGGGGGGGGGGGGGGGACTCCATTAGGAGGGTGAATATCACCACACAACAATGGAACCTGCTGAAATGATAAGAAAGAGCAGATAGGAGAGTAATGGAGGGCTGAGAACCATATGCACGCATGGAAATGTCATGGTGAACCCCCTGTGCAAACTAGTGTATGTTCATATTTTTTTTTGTTTTTACAATTTTTTTTTTTGGTCAGTTGTGGGGCTTGAACTCTGGGCCTGGGCGCTGTCCCTGAACTCTTCAACTCAAGGCTAGTACTCTACCACTTGAGCCACAGTGCCACTTCTGGTTTTCTGGTGGTTTATTAGAGATAAGAGTCTCACAGACTTTCCTGCCCTGACTGGCTTTGAACCATGATTCTCAGATCTCAGCCTCCTGAGTAGCTAGGATTACAGGCGTGAGCCACCGGTGCCCGGCATGGCTGGGGAGGGTGGCATGGAGGGGTGGAGTGCTTGCCTCGTATGTGCAATCCCTGGACTCCATCCCCAGTGAACAGACCAGCAACAAAGAAAAGCCACAAAACCCTGACCCTGTCCCATAAGAGCACTCCTAGTCCTTTTATCCCCCGACTGCCCAAAGCTGACCTCTGTCCAGAGCTGACCAGCGAGCAGCTGCAAGTCCCAGCCATGAGGGAAAGGCAACTGAAATCAAGCGGCGGTTGTGTTCATTATTAAGAACGGGCATGTTCGCCCCTCGAGGCTGTGTGGCAATTTACAAGAAGAAATGTGGCGGCAGGCACGCCTGCCTCTGTATAAAAGTGGCAGGGAGATGGCATCCTGGTGCCTCGGGGCGCGCTCTGCGCTCCACCCGTGCTGGGTTCCAGTGCTCGTGGCATGCTTCTTTGCTGGCTTAGACCCTCACTGCTCAGCCTGCTCATCAGCATCCATGGGCACCCGTGCTGTCCCACGCGCCTGTGCTGGCACACGTGCCTGGGTGCCCACACCTCCTCGGCCGCTGTGCACAACCCCAGGGGTGCAGTCTCTGTATCTGTGCACATGCACCTGAGCCAGAGCAGCCAGGCCCTGCTCCCTCTCCCTTCCCAGACTGGCGCCCCACCATGGCCCTGAGAAGCCCACCCCCGGCTGCACTGCCCGCCTCCTGGGCACAGCAGGACATGGCACACAGCGGCTGCTGCACACCAGCTCTGCAGCGCCACCCACGGCCCACCCATCCCCATGGGGCCCTCACACACTGACTCTCCGAGGCGCGTGGGGCTGGGTGTGAAGGCAGGAGTGATCGCAACCATGGGAAGGGGAGGGAGAGACAGCCTCACTTCCACCTGATCTGAGCGCAGTGGGTGGGGCAGAATCAGTGACTTAGGGCTGACACGAGCAGGCGGTGGCGGGGTGGGGAGGCCCCGGGGCAGCTGCCTGGGAAGGGGTGAGGGGTGCTCACCACAGGCCGAGCAGCTGTAGGGCCGCTCCCCGGTGTGCCGCACCCGGTGCTTCACCAGCTTCCTCTGCATGTTGAAGGACTTGCCACACTCGTCGCAGGTGAACACCTTGTCAGCCGTGTGCGTCTTTTTGTGCTCCTTCAGGTTGCTGAAGTTGCTGAAGCCTAGAGAGAGCACAGCAGGTGAGCTGAGGCCGGGCCCACGCGGTGCGCGGGGCAGGCGGCGCCTGGCGTTACCTCGGCCGCAGGTGTCGCACAAGTGGGGCTTTTCTCCTGAGTGGATGATGATGTGGCGCTGTACATCCCCAGACGCTGCAAACCTGCAATGAGGCCAAAAGCTCTAGTAAGAGGCTGCAGACGCTGCCGAGAACTCCACAGCTCGGCCACAGGCGGGGGAGAGGAGCTGCTCCCCCTCCGCGGCACAACCACTCACACAGGACCCCGCGCCACCGCAAACGTGCTTTTAACATCTTCCCTCTCTTCCGGAAACCACAGGAGGTTGGTGGGGGGGGGGGGCAGTAGAGAAAATGATACAAGTGTTGGTTTTTCCTCCCTGGCCTCTCCACACACAGGGCAGGCACGAGGCGACCGAGCCTCCTCATTAGCTCAGGAGCTACCAAGACCGCAGCAGTCTCTGTTCACAGAAAATGAGGCCTGTGGTTCTGTGGTCCTTCCAGGACACCAGCAGCTCATGGGACGCACCTGAGCATGGTAGGATGGCCCAATAAGCACCCTAAAAACAGCCCGGGGTGAGTTTGACCCCCGCGTGGCAGTAAGCCCTCACAGCAGGGAAGAGCACACGTGGGAGCCCTGGAGTCTGAGAAGCCAGGATGTAGCAGGATCATAAAGGTTTCAGGGAAGAGCAGTTCCTCCTGCACCCCGAGGAGCACTCGCCCTCCGGGAGCCACAAACATCCATCCTGAAGCAGAAGAATGAAGAGAAGTGAGCGGGAGGAAGCGGCGGTCATGGAGCAGCTGCCGCAGGTCAGGGACACGCCACCGGTCTCACCCTGCCAGATGGAGAAAGCCAATGTACAGCGGTCATCAGCTCCGTCAGGAAGGGACTCCAACACAGGCCCAAGGCAGACCGTGGTGAATGACACCCCGACACAGCCAGTGGTGATGTTCTACCATCGGAGGCAGTCCATGGTGAAGTGACATCATCGGATGAAGCCCATGAACAGACACCATCAGAGGTGGTCCATGGTGAAGTGACATCACCAGAAGAAACCCAGGAAGTGACATCATTGGAAGCAGTCCATGGTGAAGTGACATAATCAGACAAAGCCCATGAACTGACACCACTGGAGGCAGACCATGCTGGTGACATCATCAGATGAAGCCTGGGAAGTGACATCATCGGAGGTGGCCCATGCTGGTGACATCATCCGACGAAGCCGTGAAGTGACATCATCAGAGGCAGCCCAAGTGATGCTATCTGAGCAGGGTGAGCAGAGGATTCTGAGCTTGCCTCAGAAAAGCAGAAAGAGGAATGTGGCTGGCTTGGCAGCTTCCATCCTGTTGTTTTCTTCCATCAGTAAAGACAGGTGCACTCCAGCACTCCTGGCCTGGACTCAGGAGACATGTCTTGCCCTGCCACGCCTAGGGTGGATGCTACAGATGGTGGGAGAACTCTGAGTCTAACTGTTCACTCACCGGTCTGACCTTGAGACTCTTCAGTATGAATGTGTCTGAGGCAGAGAACCTGGACAGTTGGTTTATTATTGTTTTTATTACGCACACATTAGTTACACAGGGGAGATTGCATTGGTACATTTCCACTCATCTTTATAATATATTCCTAGCAATTTTAGAAAATAGAACAGGTTTTCTGGTCCTATTTGCACAATTACAATCTACCTCTTTATTAGTCCAACTCCTTCCTATTACCCTACTTCCCCTCCCCCACCAAACAGAGCCTGTTCTCTTTCCCTACACTCCCACGCCCCTATTGATGAACAGCTTTCATTCATGTTGGTGTGGGGAGGGGGAGAGCTTGAATTCAGGGCCTTGCACTCATGTTCAGCTTTTTCACTCATAGCTGGTGCTCTACCACTTGAACCATACCTCTAATACAGCAATTTTGCTGGTTAATAGGAAATAAGAGCTTCACAGACTTCTTCCCAGACTGGCTTCACAACTAGATCCTCAGATCACAGCCTCTTGAGTAGCTAGGATTACAGGTGGGAGCCATCTGCAAGGGCTTCACTGAAGCCTTTAACAGTGGCTGCACATGCTTACAATGTTTTTCCTAGAGATCCACCAGCACAGCGCTGAGCATGGGCAAGCATGGCAATTGAAGGAATGAACAAGACAGGTTTCAGATACAGCTGGTGACCTGGTCTTGGGTGCCTGTGGTCTAACACAGTGCCTACACAGTGTGGTGCCCAGCCTCAGACACCCAACCAAGTAAGGGCCGGTACAGGAGGGCCCTGGCAAAGGAGGCACGGGCCATGCCACACCACACTGTACAGGGGTCAACTGCCACACAGCTCACACACCTCAAGAAGCAGATTCTACGGTGCCAGGTCAACTCTCACATACTGGATTGAAACGCAGGCACCAAGGACGTGGGCTTTGCTCCGTGCCAGGAGCTCACAGCCTGTCTGGAAATCATGGCTCAGGCACGTCAGTCACCTCCTGAGGTCTAGTCGCTCAGGCTGCACATGCCATTCCCCTCCAAGACACTCCCCGCCTTGGGGCAGCTACCTACTCCATGGGCGTTTGGACTCAGCATAACACTGTTTTGTATAAGCCCCATTCCCTCCCTAAGCTTCCTCCTAACTCTCTTGTGGGTCGTGCGAGAGGGTGTGGATGCACCTTCGCTCCGTATTGGCTAATGGTGGCAGAACATTGGACAGACAGGCAGACCACAGAGGTCTGTCAATGCATGGCAGCCCAAACCCAGCACTGACCTCTTTCCACAGATCTCGCAGATGTATGGCTTTTCACCAGAATGTCGACGTAAGTGAGTCTGCAAGTTACCTGCCTGAAAAAACAGGAAAAGAGAAGCACACAGATAATGAAAGGGGGTGGATTTGGTTCTATGAAGTTATACTGATTCAAAAGGAAAACGGACAGATTTTAGATGAAGGCCACAGAGTGCAGGCCTAAAGAGGCCGGCTGAGGACAGCTAGCCCACCTCGGCCAGCCTCCGCTGCACAGAGCCCTGGCTGGGGCCTCACCCACATGGGTCACTCCATGGCCCCTTCCTTGAAAATGGGCCCAGCACCCTGGCGAGGGGGTGTCTGTCCTCAGGCCTGTATTTTAAACAGACTATGATATCTTCATTTGGGTATCTATATACAACATCATTTGGAAAAATAAGAAGCACTTGGTACATGTTTTGGTTTTGTTTTTTCTGAAAAGCACGCTGTTGGGGCTGGGAAGGTGGCTCAGTGGTAGAGTGCTTGCCTTGCACGCATGAGGCCCTGTGATCGATTCCTCAGCACCACATAAGCAGAAAAAGTCGAAGTGGTGCTGTGGCTCAAGTGGTAGAGCGCTAGCCTTGAGCTGAAGAGCAAGGGACAGTGCCCAGGCCCAGAGTTCAGGCTCCACGACTGACAAAATAAAAAAAAGTAAAATAAAAAGCACGCTATGTTCACAGAAGGGAGAACTTTTCCACAAAGCGTTGCCCTGACATTGCAGGTTGCTTCTGCCCAGCAGGCTTGTCATTTTTACCTCTCTACAAGATGCAACTCAGAAGAAGCACAGTAGTGTTTGAGGGCTTTTGTGTTTACTTGGTCAAACTAGCAGGCTTTGCAAAAAATAACACTGAAATAGAGAACACCAAATTGATGCCATGTTTTGTTCAATAGGAAATCAGTATTCAAATCACCTCAGTTGTGGTGGAATTACACTGGAAATGCCTCCAATACTTAGAAAGCTACTTAGTAGGATTTGGAGATGAAACTTTCCATTGACACAGTTTAAGCCTCAAGCTGTCATTTTCCTCATTTAAGTTCTTACAGTTTTCTGTTGCCCCAAACAAAAATAAACTAATACGCTCAAGGGCAATAATGTACAGATGTAAGCACAACAGAGCCAAGCATAAGAATGAACAACATCCAACGAAACACCCGGCTTTAAAATCGCAAAACAGCAGTGAAGGCAGGGACAGATTTGGTTACAGGCCCAAGAAGAATCTGATGTTCACCTGTGAGCAGAAACAATATTGTCTGATTATGTCATGTGGGGGTTGTGATGTCTATCAGGCCTGGGAAATACAGCTAGACACTATGTTTAAGATATTGTGAATCCAGATTAGAGAAAACTTAGGTTCATTTTCAATAACCACAGGAAGAATTTGCCAAGGCTTTGGGTGATACCGGCTTTTAACAGAATGATCACTGATAATGACAAAATGACAATCAACATCAATGGCAGTATCTACTTGTAGGGATTCGAATCTAGCCCTCAGATGTCACAGGCGATTGCTGCTTTTTGTTTTCTAGATAAGGAAAGTGGTTACCCCGCAGTGGTCAAGCTAGAGGTTAGTGTTGTTCTGTGGTGCTGGCGTCTTCTTTACTGTGACTAGACCAATATATTTTGAATACCCAAGACCACAGCTGCTCTGTCACCCCAGACAGGGCTTCCAGGAGTCAGGATGGCACACCGTGTTTCAAGTTAGTTACTCTCAAATTTCCAAAACACCAATCAGTGAAGCAGTAAGTAGCAGCATCTGTGCAACTATGCCCTCCTGCTCTAGGAGGGTCTGTGAATCATGTGTCATAATTAACAGGCAGTCTGAGTCAATTATCAAGGCTGCATTTTTTCCTTTTTAAAAAAGGCATTATTTAACTGCGTATCAGTGGCTCATGCCTGTAATCCTAGCTACTCAGGAGGCTAAGATCTGAGGATCATGGTTTGAAACTTGCCCAGGCAGGAAAGTCCATGAGACTTTTGTGTCTCATAAACTACTCAAGAGAAAGCTGGAAGTGGGGCTGTGACTCAAGGGGTAGCCCTGAGCAAAAGAAACTTAGGGATAGCACGCAGCTAAATTCAAGCTCCAGGAGAGGCAAAAAAAGGGGGGGGGGCATTGTTTTTCAGAGCAAATATAAACAGCTTTCTACTTAAGAGTTTAATAAGCACCAGTGAAACTTTAACATATTTCTTTACCGGTTTCATACTGGAAAGATACAATCCGAATAATCAGTATTCTCTTCAGCTACAGAAACTTGTATAAGAATGGATTAAGTAAACTCATAGAATGATTCAGGTTGAAAAAAAATCCACAATATGTGCAAATAATTTATAGCAAAGCTCAGGAATGGAGCATTAGCTGGAGTTTCTAGTTTAGTAAACTTCTGCCAAGCTCTGGTACCAGTGACAGACCACATCTCAAAAACCGTCTAGAGTTACATGCATAGGACTTCATCTCAGTGGTAACAGCTGTACCCATCACTTACCAATAGCTTCCTCTGTGTACAGCTGTCTGCAGGGCTGCACAAGGTATTTAACTTGCCACTGCTGCCTCTGTGCCTCACAATATAGTGCTACCCCTAAGAGAGGACTCTGGGAGGAAAGAAATTGACCTCTGCCCTAAGACAGGAGACTGAATGTGCTAAGTTGGGTATATGTGTTGATGTGAAAGCTTGTGCTCCTAAAACTTGGCTAAAGATATTAGCGGATAAAGGATTTAGATTAGGTAAATACTGTTTTAAATTAAGATTGGAATGTTTAGTGGAAAAACTCTGTGGAGAAAAGAGCCATCTGAGCTGGATAATCTTTGCAATATACTTTCTGATAAGGACTTGAACATCAGTACTTAACCATGAACAAACCCAGTCTCTGTTCCTGGTCATGAGCACTCACAATGGTAGCTGAGTGTTACATAAAAAAATCCAGAAAACCCCAGACTAGAAACAAAAGGGATCTTAGATCTTCAGTCCTTCTAGCTTAGGACTTTCAAGACTTGAGGGATGGGGGAACAGAGAAGATGACAGATCGGAAGCACCGACTGTTTGTGACTCAAGTGAGGCCAGAGCTAACTATGCACAGGAAGATCACCTGGGAGGACAGAGCTGACCACGCACAGGAAGATCCCTCAGGAGGACAGAGCTGACCACACACAGGAAGATCACCTGGGAGGACAGAGCTGACCACACACAGGAAGACCAGGGAAGACAGAGCTGACCATGCACAGGAAGATCACTCAGGAGGACAGAGCTGACCACACACAGGAAGATCACCTGGGAGGACAGAGCTGACCACACACAGGAAGACCAGGGAGGACAGAGCTGACCACGCACAGGAAGATCACTCAGGAGGACAGAGCTGACCACACACAGGAAGACCACCTGGGAGGACAGAGCTGACCACACACAGGAAGACCACCTGGGAGGACAGAGCTGATCACACACAGGAAGACCAGGGAGGACAGAGCTGACCACATACAGGAAGACCAGGGAGGACAGAGCTGACCACGCACAGGAAGATCACTCAGGAGGACAGAGCTGACCACGCACAGGAAGATCCCTCAGGAGGACAGAGTTGACCACACACAGGAAGATCACCTGGGAGGACAGAGCTGACCACACACAGGAAGACCAGGGAGGACAGAGCTGACCATGCACAGGAAGATCACTCAGGAGGACAGAGCTGACCACGCACAGGAAGATCACTCAGGAGGACAGAGCTGACCACACACAGGAAGATCACCTGGGAGGACAGAGCTGACCACACACAGGAAGACCAGGGAGGACAGAGCTGACCACGCACAGGAAGATCACTCAGGAGGACAGAGCTGACCACACACAGGAAGACCACCTGGGAGGACAGAGCTGACCACACACAGGAAGACCAGGGAGGACAGAGCTGACCATGCACAGGAAGATCACTCAGGAGGACAGAGCTGACCACGCACAGGAAGATCACTCAGGAGGACAGAGCTGACCACACACAGGAAGACCACCTGGGAGGACAGAGCTGACCACACACAGGAAGATCACCTGGGAGGACAGAGCTGACCACACACAGGAAGATCACCTGGGAGGACAGAGCTGACCACACACAGGAAGATCAGGGAGAACAGAGCTGACCACATACAGGAAGACCAGGGAGGACAGAGCTGACCACACACAGGATGACCACCTGGGAGGACAGAGCTGACCACACACAGGATGACCACTTGGGAGGACAGAGGTGATCACGCACAGGAAGGTCACCTGGGAGGACAGAGCTGACCACACACAGGAAGAATGAGAGAACCTGAATGTCAACCATAGGTTCAGGTGGGTGAAAGATAAACCTTCCATGGTGTAAGAATACTGGAGGAGCAAACAACAAGACTGTGTGCACCACACTCCACACAGCCTACCTTCCCAGCATGACCTCACCAAGGTCCCCACTCCCTGGTGGGGATCAGTCCAAAGCCATTTCCACACAAGGCCACAACAGATCTGTCACAATGTAGGGCAGCAGTGCCAGCACTGTTCCCTGCAGAACCCATCCTCCAGCCCCAGGAGGAAGCTAGGGCCCTGCACAGGACCATGTACAGAAGAACCTTTATTTCAGACAGAAAAGTATGTACCTACCAGGAGCCAGTGGCTCATGCCTGTAATTCTAGCTACCCAGGAGGCTGAGATCTGAGGACTGAAGTTCAAAGCTGGCCCAGGCAGAAAAGTCCCCATGAGACTCTTATCTACAATAAACCACTCAAAAACTGGAAATAGAGCTGTGGCTCAAAGTGATAGAGTGCTAGCCTTGAGCAAAAGAGCTCTGGGACAGCACCCAGGACCCAGACCCAGGCCCAGACCCAGGACTAGAGTTCAAGCCCCCACAACTGACCAAAAAAAAAAAAAAAAAGAAAGAAAAGCAGGTGCCCACAGCCAGACAAAGACATTAGAAGATTTCTTAGACTATTACAGCTCTAAGTTTGTGTCCAATGCCTAGTAAGGGCCCTGAATGAACAAATCTTTGCTGAGTTCAAATGATGTCCAGAATTGGACAGCAATGTAAGTAGACAATAAGAGTCAGAAGATGCTTCGTTTTGCTCTAGCCAGAACCATCTGCTGCCTCAGGCAAGTCACTGAGTACTGAGCTTTGTGCACCAAAGTCAGGACACATAAGTCTGGTCCCATCCTGACTTGGAAAAAGAAAAGGTATAGCGAGCAGCTGCACATGTGACAAGTATTTCCCTGCTCTCCAAGGAACTAGAAAGTATTCTTAGGAATGGCTTCCTGATTCAGTCTGAAGTCTTTAAGTATCACCAGGGGCTCCTCTCTTAAGTATAAAAGTGTCTCTTATTTACAATACAAGTAAACACTGGGGATCAGGTTTCCAATTATTAACAGTAAAGAAGAGTATTCCCACCTGAGAGAAATGTTTCCCACAAATGTTACATTCAAAAGGTTTCTCACCTAAAACAAAGCAAAACAGAACAGAACAATTTGTAAAATCCATACTAATATTTACACATTAATTTTCATTTTAAATGTTCAGATGCTACCTGTGTCCTCTTTCAAAATAGAACTTTATCCTGAGGTAGGACAATAAGAATCAATCTCTTTGTCCTTATTCTTATCCCCCATCCGAGATGCTACAGATATGATCAAAGTCTTTTTTCCTCTAAAATCAAACTGTTCTCTGGATAAAGACCTACAGTGAAAGCAAACCTATTTATCTGTGGTTGAAGACTACCAGAGTTCTCCTTCAGCTGAAAATCAAATGGGCAAATGTGTGGCACACCACATGACCCTGTTCACCTGCTGTTTGATCTGAGTCTGCTTCACCATGGAGCTCTAACAGATCCACACCATATGAGATGTGTCCAGGGACACACACACACAGTGCATTTTGCATCAAGCCACACCCAGAACAGCTGTGGCTTCTTGTAGTGGCACTCTAGTTTGTCGCAAAGTTCAATACTTTAGGTACTAGAAATTCAAGGGACTAAGAAAAACACAAGGAAATCTCCCTTTCTCCTGTGAGTGTGTGCCAATCAAGGAAGGGTTTTTTCTTGTCCTATAAAGTACATGTTGAGGTACCGGCTTTAGTCTACCCAACCCGGGTAGACACAAGAAACCACAGAACATTTGTTTGCCCTGCCCCAACAGATCCACTGGCTTTGCTAAGATCCTTAAAAAAAAAAACAAAAAACAACACTCAGCCAAGTGCCAGTGGCTCACGCCTGTAATTCTAGGTAGTCAGGAGGCTGAGATTGTGAGTCTCTTATCTCTTATCCAATAAACTACTAAGGAAAAGCATGAAGTGGCACTGTGGCTCCAGTGGTAAGAGCCCTAGCCTTGAGTCAAAGAAACTCAGGGACAGTACCCAGGCCCAGAAATCAGGCCCCAAGAATAGAAGGAAAAAGAAAAAAACAATACTCTTCCCCTCACCATCTTCATGGTAGTGCTAGCTACCACAAAGAAACCAGCTTGTTTTTCAAGTCTTACATTTTTTCTTTTTTACCAAAAATGTCTCCTAACTCCCCTGGCCCTGAGTGATTATAAGCACGCTAAGCCTCTATTTTGTCAGAAATTATTGGGCTAATAGATGGTAAGTTATAGACGTGAGGGTCACCAGTCACCAAGACTGAAGAGCTTTGTTCTCTGTGGGCTGAATCCATCAATGTGTGCCACATTAGAAATGGAAACAGTATTTTTAGGACATGAGTCCACATCACTCACTCCAGGTGACAAGGTCAGCACCCACCATGCAGCCACTGCGCACACGAGGAGGAAAGCCAAGTCCTGCCATGCACTGCTGGCACAGCTCAGCCTCACAGATCCCTAAGGGTCCCCAGATCACACCGGGTGCTGTGCTCATTGTCTCTGTCATGATGGTTCTTGTCACTCAGAGAGGTTCTACCAGAATCAGACATTTAATTTTGTTTCTTTAAAGTTAATGAGTGTAAGGTAATTATAGACGGGCATCAGTGGCTCATGCCTGTAATTCTAGCTATTCAGGAGGCTGAGATCTGAGGATCACAGTTCAAAGTCAGCCTGGGCAGGAAACTCTGTGAGATCTTATCTCGAATAAACTACAAGAAAACTGGAAGTGGTGCTGTGGCTCAAGTGGTTAGAGTACTCGCCTTGAGCTGAAGAGCTGAGGGATAGTGCCCAGGCTCAGGTTCAAGCCCCACGACCAACCAAAAGAAAAAAAAAGTAATTTAAGTAAACAGCATAATATAAACTAGTTTTCAGGGCAAATTCAGTCTATGATGTCTTCAGATGGAGTAACTTTATACTACTAGTTAAAACTTTTACAAAGGGCTTTCACAATGATTAATCAGTCTCCAACAATGCAAATGGGGTAGAATCTAAATTGTGACAATGAACGCAATTCTGTAAACACTGTAAGTGTCATTCTGGAAGCATCTTGTGGCATGCTATCTTTCAAGACGATGAGATAACTGTCATTAAGTTGTAATGTGTTATTTTTTGTTCTTGAGCTAAGGTCACTGTATCCACTCCAAGGCTGGTTTCAAACTCATTCTCCTACCTCAGCTTCCCAGTGTTTAGTTTCAGGAAGGAAAGTAACATATAGGCGTAGTGATATGTATATATGTAAGTGTGTATGTATAATACCTTAAAATAACTGTTTAGCAATGGGAAACTGTATGAATTAAAATAGTAATAACCCCTTGAAAATTCATTCTAAAACAGGAGAATGTTCCATTTGAAAAGATCAAATATTTAAAAGTAGAGTGTAAATTTACCTCCTGATTCCCAAATCACTATTTTTCAAATCAGATATATTCAAATTACTTGAGAGAACTTTTAGAATGAGCTATCTATATTTTCAGTGACATAGTTTACAAAATAAGCTCAATCTAATTCTAAAGAAATAATATAGCTTATGAGCTTTATAGTTAAAAGTTTTGAGTGAGTCAAAATATGTGCTTCTTAAGAGATGAACAGTTTACCAAAAACTTAACTAAAATCAAAATTAAAAGTTGCTGGTTTGCCTGGTACCAGTGGCTCACACCTGTAATCCTAGCTACTCAGGAGGCTGAGCTCTGAGGACTGCAGTTCAAAGCCAGCCCAGGCTGGAAATCCATGAGACTCTTATCTCCAACTAACCAGCAAAAAGCCAGCAGTGGAGCTGTGGCTCAAGTGATAGAGTATTAGCCTTAAGCAAAAATGCTTAGGGACAGTGTATAGGGCCTGAGTTCAATCCCAGGACAGGCACAGAAAAGAAAAAAAAAAAGAAAGTTTGTCATCTTTTTGAAATAGCTCTATAAAACTACTGAACTTCAGGATACACCACAAAAATTGACCAAAAAAGAGAAAAAGAAACAAACAACTAGTGTCCTCGATTCTGTTAAGAACACCAGGACGAGTCAAGAAAGAGCAGAGCTTCTCAGAGAAACGAGGACAGCAGGGTGTGAGGTCTGGCAGCTCCTTCCTGGCCCGCGCACTTGTCAGTGTACCTGTATGAGAACGTTTGTGCAGCTCCAAATTGCTTGGATGTTTAAAGGGTTTCCCACACAGTTCACACGCATACTGTCTCTGGCACTGAAGGGCCTGGGACTGCTCCTCCAGGGCGGCCGGGGCCTCGGGCCTCTCCATCCCACCGATGCCACAATTCAAGTCCTCAGAGGCTAGTTCTCCGAGTTCTTTTGCTTCAGTGCGTGGGCTGTGAGCTTTCTCTCCCTGGTCTTCACTAGCAGGTTCTACCCTCTTTGCCAAGCCATCATCTGAGCTGGGGTCCATTGCTGGCTCAACTGATTTCTGTGCCTTGAGGAAATTGAGCTTCTTCAGGTGAACAGCCTTTTTAAGCCTCATCTGCCTGGTGGGCGGCTGGCAGGGGGCATCTGACTCAGGGTCTGGGGCAGAGTCACTGAGCGGTGGGGCCAGGAAGGTGGAGGGCAGGTCCTCTGAAGTCTCCAGTAGACATTCGGGATGACTGACTGCACACGGCTGCGTTTCCACGGCTGCCAGATCTGCGGAGGCGCTGAAGGCGAAGGGCTGCTCAGCCACCCGCTCCTGGCTGGGACAAGCGGCCTGTTTGTAGTACTGCTTGCTGTACAAGTCTCGCAGTTTGTAATAGTAATTGGGCTGCTTGCAAGGCGGCTCTGCGCAGCTGCCGTCTAGAGCCTCTGGGGCTTGCTTTGACATTTCCCCTGTGGAATGATGGAGACTGTCGGACGGAGCATGGGAATGCGACCCATCCAGAACCTTCCCAGGTTGGGCCTCTGCTGAACAGTCCTGCAGTAAGTGAGGAGGGAAGTGTTCGCTCATGACACAGGCAGCATCTGGGGTGAGCGCCCCTTGCAGGGAGAAGGTCCCAGCGCAGGGCAGGCCAGGAGGCTGGTCCACAGGGCTGGACTTCAGAAACGTGTGACACAGGTTCAGCACATTCTGAACCTGCAGACACTGTGCCGTGTCCAACATCACTTGTATATTATCCTGGTTAAGATCCAGGTGGGACGTGTACATGAAGTCCAGGATCTGCCCTATGCCGCTGACGTTTTTAACATCCAAGTGGAAAACATCATTCTTCTGGCTTGAGGAATTCTGAAAGAGGCTCCTGACAGGAGAAAGCATAGTCAGTGATGGTGTGAACAACGTTTTCTTTTGAGTTACACACATATGAATATTGAAAACTGCTATCTTCCTATGAATGCCAAGACACTTATTCCAGAGACTCCTGTTCAAACCTAACTAGAAATTTCACTTGTGAACTACATCTAACTGTAACAACAGTTAATACGCTGAAACATGACTGCTTGCTGTTATTCAGTGTTTATATATAAATCTATCGCATAAGCAAAAATGATTACAAGATAACTGAGTTCAAACTGAAGGTTTGAAAATATCCAAATGGGACACAAAAACTAAATGCCTTTAAAAAAAAAAAAAGAAAATATCAGATAGGATGCTTTCCCTACTAGTTTCTTTTTTCTTTTGTTTGTCGGTCGTGAGGCTTGAACTCTGGACTTGGGCGCTGTTCCTCAGCACTTCAGCTCATGGCAAGTGCTCTACCGCTTGAGACACAGCGCCACTTCCGGTGTTTTAGTGGTTTATTGGAGATAAGAGGCTCACAGACTTTCCTGCCCAGGCTGGCTTTGAACCTCAATCCTCAGATCTCAGCCTCCTGAGTAGCTAGGATAAAAGGTGTGAGCCACCAGCACCCAGCTCCTACTAATTTCTTTTTTTTTTTTTTTTTGGGGGGGGGGGGGGTCCGGTTGTGGGACCTGAACTCTGGGCCTGGGCGCTGTCCCTCAGCTCTTCAGCTCAAGGCTAGCACTCTACCACTTGAGCCACAGTGCCACTTCTGGCTTTTTTTCTTTTTGCTTATGTGGTGCTGGGGAATCAAACCCAGGGCCTCATGCATGCAAGGCAAGCGCTCTACCACTGAGCCACCTTCCCAGCTCCTCCTACTAATGTCTTATTGCAGAAAAATTCAATTTCTTATTTACTTTATCCTGAAAGGAAAATCAAAATATAGAGTGCTGAAAATACATAGAATTAAAATTCAAGACAAACTTGCAAAAAGTATTCCATCATTCCTCATACATCATAGTCTTTTTTGGCTAAAACAAAAGCAGTACTATTAAACTGAAAATCAAAATAAGAAACACCACAGTCCCTATGTCTGTTTAAATGAAGGATAGCAAAATCCTTGAATAACAAGTGGCCCCCTGCAGGTGGAAGAGGCAGTGGTAAACGCACCGGAAATACTGGCTGAAGGCCGCCAGCACATTCTTATGGGCTTTGAAGCAGACTCCTCTCACCACCAGCATGCAGTCACAGAGCAGGCCTTGGATCCGCTGCTCGTGCAATTGCTGCAGGAGGTGGCAGCTGTGGGTAGCAACAGGGTCCATGCTTGACCATGAGACCTAGAGGAGAGAACGCAGGTAAGGGACATTCATGGGTACCACAGGGACAGAAGGACTGAAAGCCACCAAGTGCCCTTTGCTTCCCTGTCAAGTGATCTATTCTCTGGTCACTCCTGTAAAACTGTGTGGCAGCAACTAGACCCTGCAGATTGGCAGACCTATCTGCATGGTGAAAGGTGAAGTGCTTTTTGCTCACCATCCACACGGTACCACGGCCGTGTGCACTCATGGAGTTCTTGAAATGCTGTCAATTTATATTTAAATGGCCACTGAATTTGACAGAGCAATCTAGAATAGGACCGTGACCGGATACATTAATTTCTCAGTCTATTTAGAAATATGCCAATTTAAAATATGCCAAGTTAAAAAGGATACATATCTATAAACACATACAAAGTTTTTAAAAAGCCAACTAATTAAGTGCAAGCCTGTACTTGCTTAACAACTACACAGAGGTCATTGAATCAGAAAGATGCTGGAGAAATAAGAAACCTATTTGGGGAGAAAAGCCACAAGTCAAAGTAACTCCTACCAAGGAAGCTTCACAGAGGGGTGTGCCCCTCACTGGGCACAAGGGACTCTGATATCTAGAAGCTCAATCTAGAAGGCAGCAGTTTATGGAAGAAGCTGTGGGAAGAAATAAAACCAGACTGGGACAAACTGCGGGGAATGTCGGTCTGCTACACTGAAATACTAAGAAGTCATCATGGGTTTTCGTTGATCATATGACCAGTGCACAAGCAGCACCAAAAAAATCACTACTCACAAAGCCACCACTCACAAGCTTCTTTTTCTTAGAACTGAGACTGAACTCAGGGCTTCTCACTAGACAGCACTCTACCACGTGAGGTCTGCCCACCCCTAACCTAAAATGCTTTGCATGGCCCCTGCTTCCTTCCCATCATTTCCTTCAGTTATTCCCTGTTATGAGGTTTGGATATGAAGTGCCCCTCAAAGGTTGATAAACAGAAGGTTTTGTCTTTAGTGCTGCAGTGTTCAAGGGTAGTCTTGAGAGCTGAGTGGATCATGGGTCTCTGACATCAATGGGTTATTGATGACATCATAGCTAGGGGGACGATTGTGAGTGAAGCCTAATTGGAGGAAGTTAGGCCTTGGAGACACACCTTTGAAGAGTCCTCCTTCCCTCCATCCCTTCCTCTCCTTCCTTCCTGCCATGAGATGAGTAGCTTCCTCTGCCACACATTCCCACTGCCACCAGTCTTGGCATTGTCTCAGGCCCAAAAAGGATGGATGGAGCCAACCATACACTGAAACCTCTGGAAAGTAACCCATGTAAACCTTTCTTCCTCTTGTTTCAGGGATTCTTTTGTGATGAAAAGCTGAGTGGCATATTTCCATATGTGCCAGGCTAGATGAACTACCTGTGGCTCCCCAGACATGCTATGTCTAGGCTAGCGGGCTGGGGCCTCAATTGATCATTAGCTACAGGACTTTGGTCTACTGCTGCCACCCTACCTCAAAGATTCACAGCCTCCCAGGTAAACCTGGAGAACAAAATTCTGGATTCCTGCAGCCTTGACCTGCCAGCCTCACTCACCCTTTCTGAGTTTTCAAGGTGATCAAATGAAAATGTAGGTGAGCACAAACAAGAATGGGATGTATGAATGTGCCCTGCGCACAGAAATATCAGGAACATACTGCTTTTTGATCTTTCGGCCATTCTGTCACTCCTGTTGCAAAGACTTGTGAGCTCCTTCACAGAATGGGACTGCATGAGAGGATCGGGCCTTAAAAGAGGTGATTAAGATAAAATGAGGTCCGATTCCGATTCCAATCTGACTGACATCCTCTAGGATGAGATATGGATACAAATACACCAAAGTGTAATTGCACAATGGACCAGCCAGAAGAAGGCCATTTGCAACGAGGGTGGCGGTTTTCAGAAGCAAGTCAGCTGTAAAAGGCATTATTAACCTTGGGTCTTCCAGCCTCCCAGGTTGTAAGGAAACAGATGTCTGCGGTCTAAGCCACCTGGGTCTGCTGTGTACTGTAAGTTCAGTCTGCACGTACCTGCAATTCCATACCTGTCTCTCACCTTCCTACCATGCACAGTCACCTATCCTGGAGTTGATTCTCGCAGTCCCCTCTTCACCCATTCAACTTATCTAACTGACCTCCCCTGGTACATCGGATTCTGGAAGGGCTAGGACCTTCTAAGGTTCACTGAGCGCTTACTAAGTGGCAGGCCCTGGATGAGTCCTTTGACCCGCACCCGCTCTTGATGAAACCCTTCCAGATCCCAACAACAGAGGGACTGCTATAATGTCCGTTTTACAGTTGGGAAACTGAGGCACAGGAGGATCCTACTTAGCCAGGAGGCCCGGCTAGGCGGCCACCTCGGGGGTCTCAAACACCGCCCCTCCTGCGGCGTGGTGCGGGGACCAAGCAGCCCAGGGCTAGGGCTGGCAGGGCCTGGAGAGGAGCGGCAGGCCCGGTCCCGGGCCTCGGGCCTCGGTGTGCCCCGGTGCCGGCCTAGGGCACATGGGCGCCGGTGCTCCCCGCGTCACGCCGGGGTGAAGAACGCCCCGGGCCGCGCCACCCGCGCCGGCCCCGCCCGTCCTCCGTCTGCACGGCCGACGGCTAGCTTACCCCGGGAGTCCGCGCCGCTCCCCGCCCCGCCGCTGCCGGCCCCGAGGTCCTCAGCGCCGCCGAGCGCCGGGCCCCACAGGCCGCGGAACCATCTCGACCACGCCCCCTGGGCGGGCCGACTTCCGGTCTCGTCACGTCCGTCCGGGGCGTGGCCGCGGCGCGCAGGCGCGCGAGGCTGCTCCCGGTGCAGCTCTCTGCGCGGCGAGTCCCGAGGGCGGCGACGGCGGTTTCACGTGTTCCCCGTGCCGGGTGGAAGCCGTTGGCGGCCCCGGCTTGAGAGGTGAGAGGTGGCTGCCCGCAGGCCCGGAGGCTCCGGGGGAGGCCGAGGCCGGCGCTGCGCCGGCGGGTGAGGGATGCGGTCGGTCTGGGCGGCCGCGCTGGGCGGGCGTCCGGGAGCACGGACGGGGGTCGCCGCCGCGCCGGCTTCGGGCCGGCTGCACGTTGGGGACGAGGCTGGTGGCGGAGACCCGTCCCCCGCTGAGACCAGATGAGCTGCGCTCGCCTCCAGCTGCGGGTGGCCCGGCGAGGCCCCCTGCCCTCCGCGTCGGCGGGGGGACGCAGCGAGCCGGCTGGGGAGGCGGCTGCGGGGAGGGCCGCCGCCCGGCGCACGCAGGGGCCGGGCGGGACGAGCCGCGCTGGGACCCGCCGCGCTGGGACCCGCTCACCCCGTGGCAGGCCTCGGCCCACTCGGCTCAGGTGATGGATGGCCCCGGGTGGCGAGGGCGGCCGCCTGGGAGACACCAGCCACTACTGGCCGGGCCTCCAGTGGAGGAGAGGTGCGTGTGGCCTCACATCATCACGCACTTGTCACCCCATGTGCAGAGGGGGAGGCGGGATGGCGGGCTCCGTGTGCTTGTCTGTGCTTTCTCTGAAGGAGCTTGGGTCCAGCCTAGGGCGCCAGGCCTTCGGCTCACAGGTGACGTGAACTTGAAGTTTAAAGAGCGCAGCGACTTGCTCCGAGTGGAATGCCTGGGCTTTGGGGGCTGGAGTGGGCAGCCCACCTTTCAAGTGAGCCATTTGGGAGAGGGAATACTCTTGGAGAACCGGGGTTGGGCATGGTGTCACTCCTGTAATCTCAGCTCCTCAGGAGCCAACGGACATCTAGAGGATCTGGACTCGAGGCTGGTCTGGGCACAAAAATTAAACAAGACCCTCATCTCAACAAATACATTCAAGAATATTGCCCTAGCTGCTTGGGAGGAGGCTGAGGTAGAAAGATCACAGTTGGAGACTGGTCCCAGGCAATTAAAAACAAATAAAAATACAGAAGACCTGCTGGGCTCTGGTGGCTCATGCCTGTAATCCTAGCTACTCTGGAGGCTATGATTTGAGGATCACAGTTTGAAGCCAGCCCTAGCAGAGGGCAGAAAAGTCCTGTGAGACTCTTATCTCCAAGTAATCACCAAACTGGAAATAGAGCTGTGTCTCAAAGTGGTAGAGTGCTAGCCTTGATCAAAAGAGCTCAAGAACCATGTGGCCCCGAGTTCAAGCCAACCCAGGTCCTCAGTTCAAGCCAACCAAAAAACAAAACACCGAAGAGCCTATCTGAAAAATAACCTAAAGCAAAAAAGGGCAGAAGGTGTAGCTCAAGTGGTCACGGCTTTGCCTATCAATTCCCAGGCCCAGAGTTCACACCCTTTACCATCAAGCAGGAGAGGGACATTATTTTTGTAAGAAAACAAAAAAAATACACAAAAACGTAGAGGAAGAAGATTTAAAAGTTCCAATCGGAGAAGCAGACTTCCTGGGATGTGCTGGGAACAGGGTGGGAGAACAGGCACTCACGAGGCAAATTTCTTGACTTGTCCCGGGGAGGTCGTTCTATAGCCAGGAGGGCTCTGCTGTGCTCCACACAGCTTAAGGAGGTAAGTGTTAGGTCTATCTAACAGACGGCAGGTTCTGGGAAGTTTCAGGGGTCCCTGGCAATGGCAGAGGCAGGTCCTTTGCTTGTGAATCTAGGCCCAGTCCAACACGACCGGGCCACTGCCTTGGTAAGTGAAGACCCGGCTACCCGGGGCCCTTGGCAAGTTTCCAGTCTCGCTGGCATCTGCCTTCCAACCTAGCAATGCCGGTCTATAACCCTGTGGTCTTGCCTGTCATGTTGTCATGTGGGTGGCCTGCTGACCAGTGTGGGCTGGCTTTGGGTTCAAATATTTACATGTGAAAAATCTCCTCCCCCCCCCTTCCACTCAGAATGAAGAACTTCAAATGGAAAGGTAAGGCGGAGCTGGAGCTGGGCCGTGGGACAGGCCACACAGCCCCCTGAGCCTTCTCCGCTCTGATGGGCAGTGGTGGTATGCTCCCTGCCCCCCTGGAGCTGGGTCATCAGTGTGAAGTGGCTTTGTTGTGAGCTGAGGACCCTGTGCTCAGGCCCTTTCTCGGTGGAACATGGGCCAAAGTGCCCCCTAGGACCTGGCTGCTTGCGTAAGGCCTGTGTCTAGGTGGCACAGTTCTGATACACACGTAGAACTCTGCACATGTCCACTGAGTTGGGTGCTCATGACTCACCATACCGGTGGGCTAAGCCATCCCCAGCCCTTGTCTTGGACATACCATCTCTCTAAAGGAAGACTCAGAATTGCCATGGCTGTAATTAGGATTTGCTCAGGGAAGGCAAGGGCAGGAAGGTGAGGGGTGTCCCTTATGTAGGTCCTTTGTGAAATGTTGCCCTTTTATATTGGGTAGGTAAGACTTGAGCTGTGTTCTGTCCCTAGTGTTCAATGTCCTGACATTATAACTTCTCTCATTTATCTCAAGTCATCTGGATGATATAGTGTTACTTGTTCAGTTGGGGCCATGTCTGCTTTGTTGGTTAGCATGGGATCTTTTCAAAGCTGGTGGTTCACGCTTGAGCAGGTGGGAGAGCTGCCCTGGGACAGGGTCTGCACAGGGTTTGCACACTGTTGCAGTTGGCTGGTGTTGATGGTTCTGAGCTTGTCATTTTCTGTGCCCAGGCAAGAAGTACTTACTGTGGAATGATGAGCATTGTGTTGGGGAGGAGTCCCTAGGCCAGCATGAGTGTAGTCTAGGTGACTCTTGGGCTGGTGCGGTGTGTCCTCAAAACTAAGCTCCTTACAGATCTGATCTCCTTAGCCAGGCAGGAGACGCACTGTTCCATTTCATCCTACAGCAGACAGTAAGAGGCTGGAAATAAACAGATGGCAGACCAACAGAAAGGGCTGGTGAGATGTCCAGTAGACATGTGGCCCGCTCTCGTACCCAGAGTGGCCGTTATGCTGTACTTCAGCGAGTGTGATCGCATGGCTTCTTTCCAGGTCTTGCATTTTGTTTCCCGCTTGTCTTTTGCAGGCCTCTATTGATTTATTTTTTTGCCAGTCCTGGGCCTTGAACTCAGGGCCTGGGCACTGTCCCTGAGCTTCTTTTGCTCAAGGCTAGCGTTCTACTGCTTGAGCCACAGCACCACATCTGGCTTTTTCTGTTGATGTGGTACTGAGGAATTGAACCCAGGGTTCCATGCATTCTAGGCAAGCGCTCCACCACCAAGCCACATTCCCAGTCAGGCCTCTTAATTCTTGACAGCATGTCCCCAACAGATCATCCTGTGGATGGAGAAGGCGGGGGAAGGGGTGGTCCTCCAGTTGGATCTCAAGGTTTGCTGAAGCCTTTCTCCCTACTCTTCTCCCCTTGAACAGGAAAAGGTGGTCCTCAGTAGCCCAGGTGGGAAGTCCTAAGCAGCCACAGGCAGGACTGTAAATATAAGACAACATTCAATAGATCTAGGCCATGAATGATGTTATAAATATCCAAATGGCCTTTCACAGACCATTTGTTCCACACCTCTGTGGGCTAAGCCACAGTTAAGGTTATCAGGCTGTTCTTACTGTTTTCATTGTAAAAAGGCTTATCTTTTTAAAAAATTATCTTTATTAGTTGTACAAAGGAGTTGCCACTTAACAAAGCAGTTTATGAATACAATGCATCTTGGATCAGTGTTGCCCCTTTGAACATTCTTATCCTCTTCAGCCCACCCCTTTTACTTTTTAAAATTTTGTGGTACATATGATAAATTCTTGACTATATTTTCCCCCCAACCTCTCTCCTTACCCCCTCTTGCAAGTACCTGTTTCCTAGTGCTTATTTTATTGGGGTTTGCCTTTGTCTAAGGAATTAAATTATTTGTGTTCTCCTTAGAGTCTACCATATTTCAGTTAATACATTTGTAACTACTTACATGCCACCCGATGTGTTTACTTTTAGATTTATAGGCAAATGCTAGTTGCTGCAAATGAGTGACACACATAATCTTTGTTTCCCTGGGTCTGACTTATTTTGCTTAATTTAGTTCAAGTCTTTCCATTTCCTCATGAATGGTACAGTTCCATTCTTTCTGATGGATGTGTAAAATTCATGTGTGTGTGTGTGTGTGTGTGTATAAAACATTTTCTTGATCCATTTGTCTATTGAGGGACAGCTGGTCTGATTTCATATCTTGGATATGGTGAATAGTGCTGCATTGAACATGGTTGTGTTGGTGGCTAACCTTGCTTGTGATCTATGAGATAAATGAAAGGCTTTAAATTTTTTTAGTGAGATGTCTGGCTCATGCCTATAATCCTAGCTTCTCATGAGGCTGAGGATCATGGTCTAAAGTCAATAAGAAAGTCCATGAGACTTATCTCGAATTAACCAACAAAAAGCTGGAAGTGGAGCTGTGGCTCAGCACATTGAGTGAATGAACTAAGGGAATGGCATCCAGGCCCCGAGTTCCAGCACCAGCACCAGCATACAAAAAAAAAGCTTTTCTGGCAGATCATTTGTCTGGTCACAGGTGTTTCTACCTTGTGTATCCATCCGTAGTCTTTGATTTTCTTCCATCCTTACATAAAAGTAGCCCACAGGCCTCATTCTAGCCTCACTGTGCAGTGAGGCTGAGTGGCGACCTGACATTTGCTGGACCTGTCTGCCTTGCCCAGAGTGGGAGCTGTGGTTGTGTTGAGTATGGTCCCAGCTTCCTGAGCTCCAACAAGCAGATGAGATGACAGTTGATGTTGCCACCCTTCTGGGCCTTGTCCTGGGTACTTTCCT